ATATGAAGGTCGGATCTATACAGACAGCCACCTTATGATTGTGCACTTCATAATGGGATGGAAACATTGCTCAGAGCACTGAATGGCACAAGAATCAAGGCTGTTTGTCCATTAGCTGATTTTTAATTAAAATAGTTTGCCGTAACGTCTCTGTAGAATCTTTATATTATATACTCTGCAATGATGTTACCTTTTCACCGTGTTCCTCACCATCTCCCTTCACTTTGCTGATTTAAATTATATTTTCTATTGACTTTCAGTTTTCCGCAGGCAAGAATTCTATTGATTTTTGACAAATAATTTAACCATATATTCCACCTTCATGGTCAAATAAAACAACTAAATTGAACATATTTCACAATTAAAGAAAGAGCTAAATTATTTACTATCAAAGTATCCAAAAGGTAAGAGGAGCAGCTGAATGACAGACGATATAAAGATGAGCATTTATTACACATTTTTCTAATCTGAAGTTTGCTGTACTTCTTTAAGTACATGCCACTGATATATATTCATCTTCAAGGCCTTTTCATCTTGGAGGATTACATTCGCAACCTTTTGTTTGTTGATATTATGCAGTTTGTCAATGCCAAAGACCAGACTGAGTTTGTGTACTTTCGCCTGAAACAACCTACAGACTAGATTAAAGTAAAAAAACTTGGTCAGCCTGGATGTTTTTGAGTCCCTGATGAAAAGTTTGTAGGTGTTTTGGTCTGATTGTCTGTTGAAACTTTGTGTTGGTTCCTTACTCGGTCAGGTCTCAGTTGGAAAACAGATCTCTGATTCCACTGGAGCTGACGTTGCCAAATAAAGGTCAAATATATAACTAATGGGGGATTGAACAGCTCTATATTTACTCAAGCAACTCAACAGTACTTACTCACTATCCTTATCGCCTTTATTTTTACCAGTATAGAGAAGCTGAACACATAAACACAACAATAACATTTTATGGCCCCGTCTTAATGGCCACCCTCACACACTCACTGGTTTTGAGTCCATGAGGGATTAGGGTTGTCCCACTACAAAGTCATAAAGTGCATGAGGGATCTCTGGCAGGTTTTTCAAGCCCTTTATGTACCCTTTCCATAAGTGGGCATCTCTGCAGACTTTGCATGAGGGAATTACCCATAGTTCATAGCATTATGATGCAAGCACGGGATTCATATGTTTGCATACGTTGGATGTTGCGCTATCAGTGTTTTGTGAGACGTCTCTAAGTGCTGTCCCATTTTAGTAATATCATTTCAACCCCTTACAGCCTCATGCACTCAATTACTTTCCAGGTGATGTCAAATTCACTCTAGAGGCTGTCATGTTGCACAGTAATTCTACAGTAGCTCAGAATGGACAAACTAGCAGGAACCGAATGAGTTTTGTTAATAATTGGGTGGCTGAGTGAGACACGATGGTAGGAGAACAGATATGATAGCGTGAGATCAGCTGTTGTTGTGTGCGAACAAATCTGTTGGTTATAAAGTTCAAACTGGAGCCACACACCACCAGGAAACAGTTTCTGCGTTGAGGGTTTTTATTTTTCCCAAATTCCCAAAGTAAAAGTTGCCATGCACATGGTTCTAGACAGGAACAGATAATCAAGATAATTAATGGCATTATCTATCAAAGTATATCAAATCAGATGAGGTCTAATCTCTACAGGTTCAAATATATCATCACATCATATATTAGCAGTCAGGTTAACTTACATTGACGTGGACTCAACAAACACATAGCAGTTCGGTTGAGAGCAAAGGAAAAAGGAAAGAGAGTGGATGTTCCCGCCTTATACAGGGATCCCAGGAAGTGGGCGTGATCCCACTGAGACAGGTGCTGCAGGTTTGAGTGGCTAGTTCCTCCTTCAGGACAGGAGGTGAAGTACACGCAGTACATGGATTTCTGACAAAGCCATGAGGTTTTTGGTCATAAAATCCTGGAAAATGGAGGATCAGACTTATGCATCACTGGATCGTGAATCCAAGTGAATCAGTTTTTTGTTTTTTTTTGCCCAAAAAGCAGAATCCTGACACTTCTAATAATGTGGTGCTGAAGAGACAAAATATTACAGACGATTTAATCGGACATTCAATGTTCCTGAGCTGGTTGCTCACCGTGAACCAAAACTACAACTTTATCGTCACATTATTCTCATAACATGATAGCTTATTCTCATAGATTTATGATATTACCCTCATAATAGATAACCTTACAAAGACTTTAAAGGGGCCATGGCATGAAAAACTGACTTTGTTGACAGGAGGGGGGTGCATATTAGGGATAGAAAACCGCTACAATCCCCCCAAGTTCGAAAAAATTCCATCCAGTCGTATTTTAGTTATCTCTGTATTTAGGAACTGTGTGCTCAGAGCCGGTGTTGTGCCGTAGAATGCACCCCTGCAGTAGAATGCACCCCGATGGGAGCGCGGTTGGAAGTACTTAAGAAGGCGAAAATAATCCAAGTTTTCCTTACCATTGGACGAATTCATAAGCGTGTGCCCTTAATAATTTCATTCAGGCTATTCAGATAAGCCGAAAAAATAGCGCTCTGATTCGGAATATTTGCTGTCCCGAAAATATAATGTTCGCTAGCTTGACAGTTTACTGTACAATTTATATACCCAAGCACACCTCCGTATGTGCATTTTTGAGACACATAAAAACAGAACGAAAGTTGTGACGATCAAATACTCGTATTTTTTAAAAATGAGATCATTTCCTTCCACTTTAAGAAGCGAACGAGTGGATGGAATGCAGGGGGTGCATTCTACGGCACAACACCGGCCGTTCTGAAAACTCCACTGACATGACGTCATGTCAGTGCTGGCGGGTTGATGGTACTGCCCATGGAGCCGCCCACTGCACTGCCCAAAAAAATTATCTAAACACCGCCATTATTTCCGGCCGCTCGCTCGCATTGCTCCGGTTAGAACCATGGCGGAAGTACGATCTGAAAAAAGAGGCAGCGTTTGCTCTGTTGTTGGCTGCACAAACGAGCACAAAACTCTTTTGAAAACTCCCTCGGCGGAGGATTTGAGGACTCAATGGATGGATTTTATTTATAATGGGAATGTACCTGCGGCACTTTCAATATATCTGTACGTATGTGCGCACCATTTCACTTCGGACTGTTTTATCAACGAGGGACAGTTCAACGCTGGATTTGCTAGATGTCTGAAGATAAAGAATGGATCCGTGCCAACTATCCGTGATCCTACTACAAACGTGGCATCTGTAAGTGTGAACGTTTTATTTTTACTTAATGTTTAGCCTAAATTCCCCCCGGTGCCTCAACACGGCCATCACGCTTTGATAAACACACCGGATCCGCGCCGGTTTACCGGATCCTCCCGTATTTTAGCCGCTCGCTTCTTCCCCGACAAATCCGGCGGCGGGGGACAAAATCCCCTTCCGGAGCAGCATGTAGCTTTAGCATTTTACCCGTGCGGCGACGCGCCTCTTTTGGCTCAAATACGGGACGTCCCGGCTAATGCTGGACGGTCGGCCATCCTATTAATTAGCAAAGGCTTCAGAGAAGTTTTAGAGCACCAAAATCTTACATCGTAGCAGTTGTGTGAAATTGGCATGCCATGGGACCTTTAACTTCATGTTTCTACTATACCAATACAACAACATTACCTGCCAGAGAGTATTTCTAGAGGGTGAAATCAGAAGTTCCAATACAGACAGACATTTAAAACAAGCTGATGATATTTGAGGACTCAGACAGCAGCGAGCTCCGGCTCCAGAGCGAGTCTGTGTGTCTCTTACAGGAAAAACACTTATTTCCTGAGAAACATGGCGTCTGGAGCGGCGACACTTACAGTAGAATCTCAGTGTGACTCTGGGTGTCCTCTGAGCACATCTAATAATCAATCACACACTCAATTGGTCACATTAAGCGTGGGCCTAGTCACTTCAGAAATGAGTATCTGCTCTCTTCATCTGCCCTGTACACTGTCTATTGATTAGTTGTCCGTCCATCCAGCATCTGTCTCATCTTCACACACACGCATACACACACACACAGACACACACTGCTCTGATTGTATTCTACCTGCTATGAACACACAGCAGTTGGCTTTCCCTTTAACTAACATCCAATCTGTCGATGTCTGGTGCATGATTGGAAAAATATGAATTTTTACAATTAAACAGGACAAAAGAGTCACGTTTGCATCCTTTTAAGCTTCATTAGGTTGTCTTTGGAAACAGGAAACTGTAACAACACTTATATGGGATGGTTGCGCAAAAGTAAGAAATAAAAACAGCTGCACAGCACTTCATGTATTGATTACTTTTACTTTCCAATCAGCTTCCATTTCTTATTTACACACCCAGAGAGCAGCAGACACTGTTTCTTAACGCACACGTCTTACCTTCTCTATCTGCAGACAATGCTATCATCTCTTATTTAATTGGAGACAGAAAAATAAATGAGTTCTTTAAGTAGCTTAAATTGAGTTGCCTATTTTCTTGGGCTTTTATAGCCTTTAATTCCTCTATAATTTCAAAATAAATTAGAACAAACATGGGCAATCCACCATTTCCACGAGCACTATGCATAAAAATAACAGCCATCCTTTATTAGTATTTATTGCAGATGTACAAAGATGATTTTCGTTTCCCTTGAATTAGAGGAAGTTATAAGGATGCATAAAAAGTAGATCCCATGGCCCTTATTAGAGCAGAACTTATCTGATCAACAGTGGAGCTCAGCTGTATCCTTCTCTAAATCCACGTCTCCACACTGCCCTCCACAGGACTCCAGAGGACTGCTGCTAATGCTGCATGCTGACACACTCACTCTGGACACAGAGATGTGTCGAGCATGGATGTGTGTCCAGAAAGTGCTTTAGATATTAGCTGCAGATGTGATTGTAGCTTTGAACTCGCCCGGTCTAATTAGTCAGAGGATTTACAGCCTTTTCGACAGGCTACACATGCAGCTGCTCTTGTTTGTTTGGTACTGCCTGCAGGATTTTTCACCAACACCACTTGTCTTTTGGTTCGGTTCAATATATGTATCCACGGGGAGTTAAGTAGCGCTAAGAATATTTGTGTATGCCAACTGTGCTCCAGCGCTACAGCGAGAAACACGGAGTAAACAGCAAACTTTAAATCTTTACAGCCATGTTAGGCACACTGAGTTTTATCTGCCGAGTAAACACAGCAACACAGCATGAAAAACACATCTTACAATCTGAAATATGTTGGCAGGATTTAACGCCAGAGCTGGAGATGCACATTAACATATAAATAACATGAATGATAAGTTGTTTACAAATGATCGGACCAATTTTTTTGTGAATGTGGTCACATGTGGAGCAGTAACACAAGCACAGTGACTTTGGTTGTCTTTGTAAGTTTCATTATCTGACCAAAACAACTCCTTTTCTCCATCATTGCTAAGCCTGTATAGTTTGTCTAATCTGAGGCAACTCTCAGACCAAGTATTTCCACAGTTTGTTGTCAGAAAAAGCAAAATAAAGAAAAAAAACCCTACTACCGACTTAAAATGATCACACCAGCATGTATTTATGCCTTATTTCAAAAGTATGATAGTAGGTAGCCCACTGAGGTCATTTGTGGTTACTGACCTGCAGTGGAAACAGTACAAAAGCCTTTTTTATGAGGCACATAATTTACCCATTGAGCTAAACCAGTGCCTTAGAGTAGGCTCACGGTGAAACAAATATCTGTGCAACACAACAGCAACAGTAAAACACGTAATAAACAAACAGAAATTCATGCATTTATTAAATACATAAGCCCCCATGGGTGACATTTTTGTGCAGTAATATATGAAACACTAAGTTACTGTTATAGGTTAAGACTGTCAGGGGAACTGGTGTACACTGAGCACTGTCTGTGTCCCCTTAACCTTGAATCATGTCCGATAAAGTCACTAACCAGTCTTTTCTGGGAGTCTTTGAGCTCCATCATGCTGTAGGTTCCTCTGGATCGCCATGGTGAACCTGCATGATTTCCGGCTGTTTCAAATACAATAATCAGTCTGATGGTGCACTATAGATACAGATCAACTCGGTCCAATATCCCTTAGTATCTGAAATATCAAGTGTTCCAACAGCTGATGGAACAAATCACTAAAAACTGCTTCATCCACAGGGGGGCGCCAAAAAAAACAAACAAACAAACAAAAAAAAAACCAAACAGCTCTTCAAATGAACTTAACCAAATAAATATTTTACTTTAGCCATCATATGATAATCTCACAACACCCACTATGTGTCAGTTATGCCGAAGATTGTAGCACGTTTGAATAGATTTAGAGTTTAATGATAATTCTGCAACACCACCTGCAGACTTACACCCCAGGGAGTAAGATCTCAACTCAGACCCTTCTGGAAAGTGAAGGCACACAAGTTTAAAACTGAGGAGACAGAGACACGTTTCCAAAAAGAAGAGAAATATTTTATTGAATAAAAATAAACTACAACTAGTAATGGCTGATGCAGCAAAAAACTGGAAAAGGTTAGACTACGCAAGACCATAACTACACAAATTTAAGTTGGAGAAGGAAAAACAATCCTTTATTGCAACAAGTTGTGAAAAACATTCGGGATATAATCTTTAAAATTCAGTTACCCAAAGATTTAAATGCAAAAAGAAATAAATTTGACTAAACAGAGCTGAGGCTGCTGGGGCTACACAAGGGAAAGTGCAGGGGTGCTATTACAAGTGCAACATAGCATCCTCACAACAACGCAGGTGTGGTCCATGTGTCCCAGTGTGCTTAACTCACATGCAAAAAGGGGGGCCCCTCATCCTTGATGCCTAATCTCCCAATTAGGTGACGCTCTGCTACTGAAAGAAGAATTAAATAGTTAAAAAAAACAAGCAAAACTCAAAACAACCCAGTTGGCTTACGAGGCAAAGGATCGAGAAAAACAAAACAAAAAAACAACTCAAACAAAAATAACCTTTTCAGAAAGGAGATAAGCAAACTGAACAGCGACAATCAAACAAAAACATTAAAGGGCAGACCTAAGGAAAAAAGGCTTATCCAAAACTCAAATGGAACAAATGAATGAATGGGGCAAACCAAAAAATGAGAACAAAGCAACTAACTAGCATATATTCAAACTGAACACATTAACTAAACCAAAGAGAAGAGAAAAACAGGCTTAACCAACTAATGAAGGAGCGAAACAAAACAATTCACCACAGAAGGTGGAAAAACAGGCTAAATTAACCAGAGAACCATGAGCCCATAATGGAAAAGCAGCACTAAAAAGAAAACAAATTATTGAAATCCAACAGAAATACAACATACACTTCAAACAGCCTTAAAAAGACCATCAGCTGCAAACCAGGTAAGGAGAAAAGAGGCTCAGGGGAGATCCAGGTGCTTTATTGTGCCTGCTGATGAGAGGACTTAAGGGGGAGTGGCCGGACAACAGGCTGCAGTCAGAGATCAGGGGACGTATGGGGGTCCTGAATGGGACATACACCAACCACACTGAGATAAATGACTCGTGATTATAAAGCTGAAAATGGGCCTTTTGTTGTTAGGATGTATGTTTACCATGAAGTGGAGAAAAAATGTCCCTCACTGAAGAAAATTTATTGAAAAGCTTTCACTAGACATTTGCCCTCAAATCAAGCCCAACATCTAACTGCAAAATCAATATATCATTAATACTCAGTCTGTAGACATTCATCAGAGGAGACAGCATGTCTCCTGATAGCTTCTCTCGCCATTACAGTAGGGTCATTAAATGCTTTTCAGAGATTGCTGTTGCAAAAGAAGAGATGGTGAACACAGATAGATTTACCCTGGCTGACATTAATACAGTATCACAGATATGTTTACACACTAATGCATCTGTGTGAAGTGGAGGACTGTTCAGGATGTTGGGAAAAAAGTTAAAGACTCGACTGATAACCAAGTCTTTGGTCCACAGGTCTTTAATTTTACTGACAGGGCAGTTATAGTTATGTCAGTAAACAGTTGACTTGAGATAGTCAGATAACCCCCAATTTCCACCACATCCGAAACCGCTATGAAAAGACGGGTTATGTGGCTGTCTTTATAGAGACAACTCATTATCGTGCAATTGCATGTGAATCCGCAGGTTCTCGCGATTCCAGCTATCTATTATCCGCCATGAAAATTCACCTCACAAATGGATCCAGTAGGATTTGGAGGACGGCAAAATTCCCTGCTGTTCCGGATCTGAGCCGTTCCAGATGCAGTGGAAATTGGGGGTTAGTGTTTAAATAGATATAAATAAAATAGGTATAAATGTAAAGATACTGTGTAAGAAGGAGACTTCAACTGCACTATGCTTACTTCTTGGAAACAGTCACTGATAAAATTCTTAATTGATTAAGGGAATATTGAGATTGGAAAAGATCCAGTGATAGATCCTCACAGTTTTTAAACCAGTAGAGCCACAGTTCATTGTTATCATCAAACAATGAGAAAATCAATATTTTTTTTTTTACATGTTTGATTCAGTTAAAAAAACAGGCTTTGAACATGGCCTGTCTTTGGCTTTTGTAGCAGGCCTCAAGTAGACACTTTCAGTTTTCTGCACCTCTGAATTGTTTTTGTTTTGTTTTGTTTTTTTAATTAACTCTGGAGATTACCACTCCATTAAAGCATAACAAATAAACTCGACATATAATGAGCTCCTTCTACGTGTATTATTCATGTCGACGTCCTAATTTGTGAAAAAGCCCGATAACTGAGGCTGTGGGATCGATGTATTATGTAAAAAGATCAATATTTCGCTCTGAAATGTAATTGAATTGGGAGTAGAGAGTGGCAGAGGAGCAGGGACTTTTTTTTTTAATACTGGAATAACTGAAACAAACATGGCTGATTGCTCTTCTAATTTTATTGACTCAACTCTTTCTTTCCTTCATTCTCCTTTAAGCTCTGGGTTTTTTATCTCTTCTTTGTAAGGCACTTCCTAACTTTCTCCCCTCTTATTAATGCAATGTTGCTAATGTGAAGAGTGCATCTTGAAATGGGTTAAAACTTTCACTTTGTTTGTGTCAATCTTGGCACCCCCTGTGGACATAGAAAACTTTGGTTCTTATATCATTCACATGCCTGACCAGAAAGAGGACACTACTATGCGGGGCAGAGTCATGGCGTCGTGCATAGTAAATTTTGAGAGTTTTTCGGTTCAGGTCGAGTGTTTTTTACGGGCGACTAACTCAGTCAGTCCATGTGACACAAACTAGTGTTGTGTCGTTTGCAAACGATTCGTTCAGAAGAACCAAATCTTTTAAGTGAACATACTGAACCAAATCACTTCCTTGAGTGATTCGTTCGTTTCTCACTTCAGTTGAGCTGAAGTGAGAAACAGCATTGCCAGTCGAGCAGCCGGCAAATGAGGGACCACATGCACTGATGCCTGAATCACTTGGTGAACGAATCACACATTGAACTGCACTCTCTGGAATCATTTTTGTTGGACAAAACTACCCTTTTTTCTTACTGCAATTCTTACAAACCTGTTAGCCAAAGCAACACAGCTAAACACTTTTGTCTCATGGTCCCAGAAACTATGAATTGAACTGAATCCTGAACCGTTCAGCTGTGTATCAGTTCAGGAGGTCGGAGTCGCAGGCCTCTCCCACCAAGCGCTAAATTATTTAGTGATTTGTTGAACGAATCTTTTGAACAAATCTTTTTTGTGAACTGATTCTAGTGATTCAGTATATCTAAAAGAACTGCAATGCCTATCACTAACACAAACTCAAAACTTTCATACAAAACCCCTGACATTTGAAGGATTTTATAAACTCCCCCCAGAAAAGGCCGGGCAGCCCCCCAAAAAGAGGACATGTCCGGGTAAAAGAGGACGTATGGTCACCCTAACCTACAACCCTCACTGAAAATGACATTAAAATAATAAAAAAGGCATCCACATTAATTTCAAACTATTTCACTATTGTAAAAAATCTCCTCACTAGGGCTTTAAAGAGTGTTGTAGGTCTGTAACTTTGTTGGAACAGGCTGTTCAGGATACTCTTGTAAAAGAGATTTTTAATCTTAATGAGGCTTTCCAGGTTCAATACAGTTTAAATAGATAAATAAGTAAATAACAACACCAGAAAAGTTGTTGTACTTAAAAAAAGCAGACCACCGACATTAAATCTAGTGATAAGGAAGAGCAGTTAAAGAGAAGTAAACCAGCGGATTTTCTGTTGGTCCACTTTTAAGTACTGGCCTGATGTCATTTGATCCATTAATTTGCAGGTGTTAAAAAAGGTTCTCTAACTTTCATCTGTTTAAGTTTTATCCTCCCACAGTACATCAGTCATTTCACGGTATCTCCCTTTAACTGTCAGGATTTAGTTTTACAGTTTCTTCTCCGCTGAATTCGTTGTTATTGCTCCACACATCAAACCTAAACTTGCCAAACTTCAAACTGTTGATATTGCACATTTCCCCTTTTCTTTACTTTCTTTACTTTCTCTATCTAGTTGTCTTTGTCGCTCTGTTCCTCCTCTCTTCCCTGTTGCCGCTCTGCCCCCTCCAGCTCCCTGCTGACAGCTGGATTACCATGTATCAATGCAGTGCCAGGAACTGGCTGCCAGACAAAATCATGTTTTGTCTCATCCCTGGCTACCGCAGGGTGATGAGTGCCAACAGCGTGTGACAGTGGGAACAAGGGATGGGGAGCCAGGTGTGACCACAGACAAAGGTGAGGGGAGGTTAATGTTTCCATGTGTACGTTTATATACGGCCACATTGATGTGTTTGTACAACATCACGCGTCTGCAGTCGTCTTTAAGGATGCGCTGTCCCCCTGATAAATGCTGTACATGCTTAAAGGCCATATGTGTGTCTTATCTGCACGCACAGACATGTACAGTATATTATTTTCTACATGTAGGCCTTTGCAGATACCCATTCGTGGCTGCGTGTGATGTCTGTTCGCGGGTTATAAATGGTTATTGTCCTGCGGACTGTCGTGAAATTGCAGCACGATGAGACAGATTCTCTCTGGCTTGCAGGCTGAATATTGGATTTTCCAAAAAGTCAATAAAGGCCTTGATCATTAAAGTGAATAAATATTCTCTCTCCTCAAAGCTATTTCAAGACCTGCAGTTTCCTATCGCCACTGTGCCTTTTTTTTTTTATTATTTACAGTTTTCTGCTGACACACACACTCTTTCTGCGCCTTGGCATGTACTGTCTTATATGAAACTGAAAAGAGAAGCAAGATGGGAAAAGTTGCCAATAATATGGAGACAGCTCTATTAAAATGGATTACCTTTACCCCCCACTCTTACTCTTCCTCTGCACTCCCCAAAAATAATGTATAAGATTTCTGTCAGGCCGTCAGCAATAGATTGGCTTGTTGTATATATCTGTTTCCCAGAGGAGTAGGAGAGGTTATTTTGGAGCGGATGGTGGATGGTGGTTGGTAGTAGGAGGATTTGCTGAGGTGGTAAAAACACAACCAAGAGGGAATATATACAGTATTGTTCTCATTATCTGCTCCCCATATAGACGACTCAATCAGTGACTTGTGTCTGCTGCCGCATGCTGACAAGAGACACATAGTAAGGAACATGAAATAATTATCAGGGCGGCCCAAGTTCACCATGAAGCAAGCAAGGCGAACAGAGGGTTTGAAAAGGTAACAGTAGATGATGTGTTTTCCTTTTATTAAACATCTTTCTGTGAAGGACGATCTTAATCTCAGAGCACATACGAAATCTTCTGATTCTGGTACATGCTACTTTGAGAGCTGGACAACTTGCTCCTCAAGCCAAGGAGAGGCGCCAATTTAGCCGCTCTATAGCTACAAATAATGCTCAGAACAGCACCTAACTTCATCAACAGTACATATAGGGTCCCAGCCATAGTATTAGCCACTAAACATCTTTTTAGCTTTGTCTAATTTCTTTAGCAAAGAGACTAAACACAACTCACCTACTCTCTTCCAGCAGCAACTTGTTTGTAGTGAGACCTCGGGCCAGTCCATTACGGACTGTAGTGGGGTGACGCAGCTCAAGGAAGAACATTTATGATAATCTCTTTTTCATTTCCTTGAAGTAAAAATCATCATATTGATCATTTTGCACTGCAGACGCGGTAGTTCTTTTGCCTTAACGTCTTGGTCTGATTGCATTTCCATGAAGAAATGATCATAAATGTTCTTCTTCGAGCTGCGTCACCTCGTTAACGCATCCCTTTAAAGCTGATGCAAAAATGCTAAATACTGCAGTTATCCGAGTGTCCACTTGAGGCAGGCTGAGGAGACACCAGGAACCATGTACACACAGCAATATTAAACACGTTATATTGTTATTATATTATATATTATTACAATATTAAACAAGCTTTGGTCTGATTAGCTTGGGGCTCCCACAGCACCCAGGGTACAGGAAGGGAAAATTATTGTCACACATTTGTTTCAAAGTTATTCAGGATACGAGGACGACCAATGAGAGGCATGACTGATGTGACTGGCTGGCAGGCACACTGTAATCACTGAAGACCCGCCTCTGGTTGGTTGAGATGGCATTACCAATATGGCGTCCGCTTCTAAGCTCTGCTTCAGAAACAGATGGGTGACATCATTGGTGCTTTGTCCTGTAATCATACAGTCTACACTATGAACCAAAAAAGAAACAAATTTTCTTGCGATTATCTTCTTTGTTAAAACAGCAACAGCATGATGCAGACCTGTGAAAACATGCAAGCTTTGTTTGGTCCATCCTCAAAAAGAAAATCACTCACTGATTCTTTTATTGTTATTATGACTAAAAAGTGTCAAAAATCCATTTGGCTGTTGCTCATCTCTCTGTAGACTGACATTTGCCTTTTCTGTGTCGATCTCTAACCTTCTATTGAGTGAAAATTACATAAATATTTCATTTATCAATGATCGACTTCGATTTCGGTGCCCTGTAACTCTTAAGAGGTCAATAGGTCTCACTGTGGTGACCCCTGTTGATATGCACTGCCCACTTTGGCTGCAGCACTTGCCTCGAGTTAAGCAGACCAATATCGATCATGGTTTATTTCTTAAACAAACTACTGATTTATTTGTTCAAATATTTTTGACATAATAGGGAGGAAAAATCTGACATGGGAGACTAATACTGATGCCTCTTTATTAGCTACAAAAATGACCAAGGCCATCATTAAGAAAATCACTTTGTATATCATTTTACATGCCTGTATCTGCGTCTGCAAGGTAAGTGTCAGTGATAAACAGTACTTTCATAACAATTAACCTTGCAAAGATTTATGCTTTGGCTGTTTAATGACAGTATGATTAAACCTTCACATGCACAATACAAACGGATAGGTACAGCTCTCTCTACAGAGGACATCAGAGTCCAAACAAAGTGAGAGTCCCTCACAAAAGTGTGAATACCAAACCGCACAGAGCTAGTCCCTTCATAAAGTTCTCCACTTTTAAACCCCCAATCACGTTTTTTTTTTTCAACCATTTTAATTATAATTTCTTAATCAGCTAAAAAAAACTCCAGACTATCTGCGCACTGCTTGAAAAATTGGCAATTTAGAGATTCATTTGAGGAACAAACCGTAAGAACCAGTAATGTTTGTTTTCAGAATCTTTATCCCTAAAAAAAAAAAAAAAGAAAGCCTTGTCCCCGTGGTTGAAGAAGGATTTCCTATGCATCTACTTCCCAGATATGACTAATTGTAACTTGAGAAAGCTGCCCAACTGTTTATCCCTTTATCTGTTGGTCCTTTGCGATATCTCTTCCTCCATTTGCTCACACATTGTCTCAGATTATTTACTGAGTTGCAATCCCTTAAACCCGGACAGACAGGCGCAGACTGATTTGTATTCATGTGGACTTCTGCTCAGCGTGACAGTTGGGGAGGAAAGCAGGAGTGAGTGTGGAGGAAGACGTGAGTAAAAATGTGTTTAGGATATATATCTCTAGGTTTACGTGCATGTCCAGGTGTATACACCCTTGTGAATATTGATATGTGTGTAGGACAGCTTACTCCTCCTCCCAACACCCGGCGCTGCCCAAGTTAATTAGTTTATTTATGAGAGAGGCATGCGGCAAGAGGAGGCAAATGAAGACTTAGTATTGTTACTTATCCTGACAGAGCAGGATAGTGGAGAGATTAACTATGTGGTCCGAGACACAGCTCTGGTGGATTGATGACTTCTGAGCAACTGGGAGACAGACCCAACAATTCTTGATGCTAACAAAGTCCCAAGTAAACCCAGTGTCTCCCACAAGTGACCTCCTCTTAAACTCACATAAATCAGTTGTCGCTGTGGGCGGGAAAAACTGATTCTCTTCTGAATCTGCCAACGTATTCAAGAAAAAACATGTTCAGGGATTTCATTTTACTAAGACTTTGTTGGATCAGAAAGAACTAGTATGATGTTTCGCTTTTGTCCAGCTGCTTTTAAAAGTATTGTCTCCAATGGAGTGTTGTCTATTGTCATTTGGAGTGCCTCAAGGGTCCATCTTCGGACCACTTTTATTTTAGTTTTACACATGCTAAATCTCTGAACCCATATTTGATTTCCACACTAGCTCCCTGGGAGATGACAAACTATCCGACTCCTCTCGCCGGGCCTTTATTTCAAGTGCATTGCCTTTGTTTACAACCGGGCCTGTTTGCCTTTGTTGATGATGCTGTTTGGACTACATAAGCAAACTAGAACACTTCCAATTACAAAATCCTCCCAGATAAATCTATGCCAGTTGGTCTCTATTATTATTTGGTTTCCTAAAGCGCCAAAACTGTCGCCAGGAATTCAGAATATCTCTTGAAAATATACGACTCAGGCCCTTCAACCAAAGCACAATTAACCCCACATGATCGCTATTGTAGAATCTCCATTATGCTCATTAAATCTTTCAGATAATATAAGTTTGACTTACTCGCTGAAAACTGGAGATTCATATTTCCCCAGTAACTTTTTTGTTGTTACAAACACCCAATTTTTTATACCAACTTACAGAATACAGGGATAAAAAGTGGAGAAAGTTTAATAGATTAAACAGGCTGCTTTATACTAATTTCTTTGGTACAAAAGTAACTTTTCCTTGTCTCTTATGGCATGTAGCGGTATTACAGCCCCACACGTTCCAATATATATAATGTTTTTAACCTCATTACAGATTTAAAATCAGTCAATTTGTGACGTCAATATGTTTTCATGTCACATAGACTCTTAGGGATGCAGTGGGAACAAGCGAGACCATTATCCTCAACAAGAAGTGTTCCCAAGGGCATCTTTTACAACCTAAATATTGATTGCCATTGTTTAGACTCTTGAATGAAACATCCAACCAGCGTTAATAAGATTCAGCGACACTTGCCTTGACCTTAAAATTGACCTTAAAAGTTTTTAAATTTCTTCTTCTTTTTACAAAAATACTCGGGCCCCCTTCTCCATTGGGACCCTGAGAAGCCAATCCCACACTTTAAATAACTGGACCCTTCCTTTCAGCTCTAAACAGTGAAAACACACTTTAGATACGCTTCAGTTTAGCTTTCATAATGACTTAAAGTGAATCCAAACCCACACTGCAGAGCATTAGACAATCACCAGATAGTCGATAAGACTCTCCTTTTAACCAGTGAGTATGTAATTGAACTATTCAGCTTCAAGTTACATTATAGTGCAACTTTTTAATCACAAAGTGGTGTTAAAACAGTTTAGTTAAGATTATTTTTAATCTGGTTCAAGGATTTGTTTAACTAGCTTGGTCCTTTGGCATGTTATTAAAATATATATATAATTTTATTTGCTTCTCTTTTAAGCAGTTAAATAATAATTATATCATAATTATAACTACTATTAAGTTCAGTTTTTTCAAATCACCACTTCATATAATCCAGCAACTCCAAACACACCAAATATCAATTGGACATTTCACCATATAACAACTGATCTAACATCATTTCACAGTCTCAAAGTCAAGCCAGATTGGATTTTTAAGTGCTATTGACTTGTAGCTGTGCTGTAAATCATTACATAGTTTTTTTTTTCTACCACCATTCAGCCCCTCTATCCTTCATTCACCCTGTCATGTCCTCCAGTGGCAGGATGCTGTTAGGATGCTGAATCGAGAGAAAAAATCTGCAAGCAGCGGAGCAGTTTCCTCCCCAGTTGCTCATCTCTGGCAGCAGATCCTGTTGCAATTAAAAAGGAACGGAAACCCTTAAATCCAAAACTCAAACACATCCATTCTCAATGTGCTCATATGGATAAATGCCAAGGATGTGAGTCAAAGGGAGAAACCAAAATGCAGGAAGTGTTTTGATTAATATGCTGACAGAAAGAAGGGAAGCACACCAATCCAGAGGTGAAGCTAGTTAAAAATTTGACAGTGTCAGAGGCAAGTCCTGCAGGTCAAACTAAATCTCAAAAATAACTGCAGCCCACAAAATATTAACAAACCAGACAACATGGACTGTTACCTCTACCTGGGAGCCTGCCAACAATATCAACCCAAGATACTGCAGCAGTTCACTTAGATTTCTGCATGCATCCAGGACAAATATCCTTTCAAGTTTGGGTTTAATACTGTCTCCTCCTGAAGAGATGTTTTACAAATACAACACTAAAAAATCTTTGAGAGCAAAACTCAAGATCAGTGGAATCTGTTTAAACATTATGACAGGAGCTGTAACTCAGTATGTTTACATTACACTCAAGGAAACGGGATAATTGCTTTACTCCGATTAAGACCGGACAACTGACGTGCATGTAAACACCACAGTCTGACTAAAATCAGAGTTTGAGAACTCTGATTAAGACACCCAGATAGTGCGATCGGAATTAGATTTTCTCTACCATGCAACCAACATAGTCAGAGTATGATCGGACAATGCATGTGCGCATGCATCACGCCCCCGTAACCCTCGAACAAAAACACCAGAGAAGAGGAGTAGCCTGCATCTCATCTGCGGAAAAAGTTGTGCGTACATTATGTGCGACAAAAACAACGCTTCAACTTCTTCCTCGAAAATGCCCACCAGCAGTTGTAGCCACTTCTGACATCTGGCACAGTGTTGTTGTTGACAGTTGTATGGAGTCAACCAGAAACAGCGCAGCTGAAAAGACCCATATCGCCCCCTAGTTTTGAGGAGGAGGATATGTTCATGTCAATAATTAGATTTTCTCAGCTGCATGTATACACGGACAAGGAGAGAAGTCTGATTCAGTAAAAAAAAAAAAGAATCATGAGCTTAGTCCAATGAAGCAGTGTATGTAAACGCACTGACTGAATAAGGATAATGAACTAATAATGAACTATTGTTAATTTTTGGCTGTTTGGCAACGATAAGAATGGTGGACTGCTAAGGTGTGTCTTCGTTGCTAAGTTTGTTACCTAAGCCACTTTTGGACATGCAAAAAATTCCTGAAAATTTCTTTAAAGTTACTGGCGTGAGCTTTTTACTGTATCTGTACACCTACAATTTTTCTTGCTAGCCCCCTAGTAGTCGATAGAATCTAGGTGAGCTCATGTGAAATATTGTCTGATGACTGCACTGTGATTTTTTAAAAAATTGCAGAGAATAGACTAATCTGCTTTTAATGGCGCCATTCTAATCTAAAAAAGACCTGAGTCCTGCACTTTAGCATAACCCTACTGGTACAAACTACAAACTAAATAGTGGCACAGGCAATGAGATGTTCCTTGTAATGGACAGATTGAAGTGTGTTAATGTTTTAATAGTCTCTGCTCTCCCTGTTTGGGTGGTAAATGCTGTTTAAAAAATTTTCCACATAGTTTTTTGCCCTGTTGATCTAATTTAAGTGAGACTTTATGAGCTCAGTGGCATTTCGTGAACTTTGAAGGGCATTCCCCCTGTAGGCATTGCGAGTTTCCAAACCTGACTTGGACTAATTCACATGCTAATTTTAGTATATGAGATAGTTCATTTACTTCCCCTCTTACTGCTCTTTCCTGGTCTCACTAAAGAGCGACAAACAGGGCTCAACACTAATAAGAGCAGGTGATTGAAGCCGTTTGAAGCGGACAATGGCAGTATGTTAAGTTAATGCTGCTGAATAATTGCTACGCTAGTGAGCAGACTCAATAACAACTGCCACTGTTTGCATTCAAATTGCCTGCTGGCCAATTACTCACTCTGCAAGGACTTATAGCAGAGGTGCTCTGGATAAAGTGATCAATCAATTTGTGTCCTTGCTTGGCTTTGCTAAACTAACGGTATCCTAGATACTTTAAAAACAGCTCGGGAAAAGGATCTTTTGTTCGCATGCAGCCACAGTCCGCCCAGCGTAGCAGTAAATGCTCTTCTGTTGGCAGTAGAGCTGCAGGAACAGCAAGTGCCGCCATTCAGCTCTCTATATCCATAATAGACCATCTGTATTCAGGCTCTACAAGTGCACACAAGGACACACAAACACATGCACAATACTTGGCTCTCTTAAGAGTGACACAATCTTTTCAATATTCCAGGCTGCTGTCAGAGGCCTGCCTGAAACACCGTTGCTACAAATTGCTTTATAGGAAAGATAGAGGTGGAGAGTATAGTTATCATCCCACTCTGTTCTAATGGTTTTTGATGCCTGATACAGAGGAGTCAGGTAATGACATGCAAAATGCATACTGCACAGTTACGGTAATGGATGAAATCTGTTTCCTTGTCCCATAGATGCCAATTTGGAGTTGTTTGACCGAGCTTGTTGGGCTTGAACCATCTCTTGTTGGTAGAAACTGACAGTAATGAGCACATCAATAAGAAGGCTGAGATTTGCCCCCTCAGCCCTCCTGTCCTAACCTCCTGATGAATCGAAGTCTCCAAAGTCCCTTGCATCCGGGCCAATTTATGGTCATAATATGACTTCCTCTGGTTGCAAACCAATACTGCTGAGTAGATGCTTTGGAAGCCTGCATGAGAATGAGGATATAAAAATATATGTGCTGTTAACACCCTAGGGTTTGATAATGGAGGGTGATTTCATTGCATCTCTAAAGGCCAGTCGGACGCAACATGAGGGAGTTTGTGAGACCCTTGAAGAAATAGGTTGACATTTTGGTTTGAGTGCTTTTTCACTTTTCTGCTGACAGTGCAGTCAAAATAAATCATTATCACTCTCATGTTTGTACAGTTAATATGACATTTCATGCAAGACCATAAATAGCAAAGTACAGCCTAAGAGCTGGACACGGTTGCGCTAAATGACACCTCTTAAGCCAACCATTAAAAATACTCTTTTGGATTTTTGGATTTGCTTTCAATTTATTATATTTTTTTTAATATTTCAAAGTTTTTTTTTTTTCAATGTTGACCGGACAAACGAACATCAAACGAAACAGACAAAATAGAGGTCAAAAATAGTAATAATGATAGAATAAAAAAAGAAAATAAGAAATTAAAGAAAATAAAAGGTAAGTTGGCAAGGCAAGAAAGTCTACCAAAACTATTCCATTTTTCTTTTATTGCTTCCAGAGAATTGAGGCTAAACTGAATAAACAGCCTCAAAGACACAAAAGAAGAATGGATGAGGTTGTAACATTTAACAGTTACAAGGAGACAACTCAGATGCAGGCTATTGAAATAGGTTCAATAAACAAAGAGGCGAAACAAAAGCTGACTTTACAGGAGACTGGGTAAGTCACCATCCAAATGAAAATGGCAATGCCCATCAGCACAGAGGAAAAACAGGAATCACAGTGGCAGAAACGCAACAGGGAAGTATAATAGATACATAGATGGATGGATAGATATACTTTATTGATCCCAAACTGGGAAATTCACAGATGATAATAATAATAATAATAATAATAATAATACAAAATACAACAGTATGAATCTGAAAGGGATATTCCGGCATAAAAATTAATTTAGGGTCAAACAAACCGTAACACCGAGCTCATGATCATTCATTTATTATTTCCTTGAAATAATAATTACCATATTAATCATTTTGCACTGCAGACGCAGTAGTTCTTCTGCCTTAGCGTCTCGGTCTGATTGCATTTCCATGAACAAATGATCATAAATGTTCCTCCTTGAGCTGTGTCACCCCGCCATAGTCTGTAATGGACTGGCCCAAGGTCTCGCTACAAAGAAGTGGCTGCTGGAAGAGAGTAGGTGAGTTGTGTTTAGTCTCTTTGCTAAAGAAATTAGGCAAAGTTAAAAAGATGTTTGGTGGCTAGTGCTGTGGCTAGGACCCTATATGTCCTGTTGATGAAGTTAGGTGTTGTTCTGAGCATTATTTGTGGCTATAGAGTGGCGTTTTTGGTTGAGGTTTGTTTATGGCTCCTCAGACCGCTGTGTATTGCTATCGTGCGGTCATTATCAAAGTTGGTATAACTAGAGAAGCAAGGGGTCAGCAACATTCATCGCTCAAGGGGTTGTCTAACTCGGTGTAATGGTGTGTTTGACCCTAAATTAATTTTACGCCGGAATATCCCTTTAAATGTGCTAACTTCTTCTAATTCAGGCTGACACTACATTAAAAGATCACCAACAGCTGGGTCAGACAGCTTAGCTTGGCGTGAAGGCAATAAACAAGGGTTCAACAGCTTACTCTTAAAGGCATAAAAGCCTAAATACTCCAAGGCTAATTTTTTACCCTTATATTTTTGCAAACTTTTAATTTTTCTTTATCAATAAGAGATCATGTTTATTCTTTCTCTATGACAGCAGCACACATTTATAAAGAGATATGGAGGACTTTTTTTACTTTCTCTGGGTGAACTCTAAGTGGTCTCCTAAGATAGTTTTCTGTGGGATAACTGTGCAATATTGATAACAGCTTGGCTCATGAATGACATCTACATTAATATAAAGCCAGAAATGTGTCACTTCTACAAAGACACACGCTGGCTCTGGAATGGATTTGTTTGACCATGGAGCGGGGTGTAAAATTGGCTGCATGTCACATTTCACACATTTATAACTACAGCCTGACTCTGAGTTCCCTGGAAAGAACAGTCATGTTTGAGCATGTGAGGTGTGTGTGTGTATACGTGTGTGTGTGTGTGCGCATGTGTTATTGGGTTTTGTGGAGACCATTCCGCACAACATATGGAGCCCCAGAATCAGGCACATGCGTCATAATCGGCAGGCAAATAACAAGTGTAAGTGACATTTCATTTCCGAATCGGCCACCAACCGAGCGGTAATGGCAATAAAGTCAAGGCGATAATGAAATCTCGCGCAGGGCTCAAACTGAGGCTTTGTGGTTGTGTATGTGTGGCTGTGTGCGTTCGTACACTCGTGCACTCAGGGCCCACTGTGGGCACATCTAATGAAATTAATATCCAGTCAGAGATGCCTCCAGTGGCTTCAGGCAGGGTCGGTGTCATTCAGAGAGACATATGCAATCAAGCACAATGTAAAAAGTGACATTTCACTTAATCTTGCTGCAGTGGGGCGGACTAATGCATGTCTGCATGCACATCAAATGGCACCTGTCAGAGCGCTCAACAGAGAGCGACACTAGAAATTTAACCTGCTCTGATAAATAGTACAGATAAGTTGAGATGTCGGGCATTATCTGCACCAACTGATATGATGTGTGTATGATTTATTACTATTAATGCTCGATTCTGATAGGTCAAAACCATAGACTGTATATAGAATAGACGCCGTCTGCTTCCTCTCTCGGTGAAGCCACAACGAGAACAGCACCCTCTGGTGACGGGCTGCAGTATAAGTCATAAATCCCGCCTCCTCCAGCAATCCCTATGGAGCTGTGGACAAACTTTATAAATTAGTTAGTCCTCTTTTTTCTGTGCAGCTCCATTTTTAAAAGTTATTAGGGGTTAATTTTTTCTGTGATTGGCACTTTATACAGCCTATGGGTGTACGAAGATTGCGTCGCTCACCCGGGGGATACGCTGTTTGAGCAGAGCGTCATCACAGCGACTCTCGGCAACTCTCTTGCCGAATGCGTAAAATGCTACTGCGCAATTGGGGAAGTGCGTACAACTGCGTATACTGACGGAAGGCGGAACCAAGTTGTCCATAGTATATACAGTCCATGGTCAAAACCTCTAATCAACAGTGATTGATTCTCAATAGGAAGAGCAACACTAAGGAGAACCTGATCAAACATGTCATTATGAATCGATCTGCAGAAAAGAGCCTAACACTTTTCACCTTTGCCCGTTGACACTGTGACAAAAATGTGAGTTTCAGTCGGAGTTTGATATTGGTGCAAAAATGTTCCTTACAATCTCAAGCTGGTCTTGAGAGTTGGAAAATACTCAAATTTAGAGAAGGAGGAGCGACCAGACCAGACCCTGTTGATCTCTCGTACAGAAAAGAGGGGCAACATCCTGTCCTGCAATCCAGGCAATGTATGCCGAGCTGTTGAGTGCATCCCTTAACCACTGCACCGAGAAACTTAGACTTTTAGCTGCAGTACAACAACGTTCAAATTTGTGACAATTGCCTTATTTCTGTAAAACAACTGCAAAGCCCCAAGAAAAGGAAAGCTGAATGAGGTCAGAGATGTCAACGCAGAGTCTTGTTCATCAGGTCAGGTCATCCTTGTTTTGAAAGGATGCTGAGAAAGCAGATAAAGATTTGCAGGAAAAAAAAGAAGATCAATAAAGACTCACAAATTAAATTCACTTGTAAGGATGAGTTTAAAATGAAAAAGTGGAGAGTACTGAGATGTGTGCTTTCATTTAGGAACATTGATCAAAAGTATGAATACCTAAATTAAACATGTGGCGTTTGCACGGAGGACCAACCATATCAAATACCTCTTGCTCACAATCAAAGCACAAGAACAACAAATCTTAGTGTGTGTGATGATTGAATTTCCTCTTCCACAGGTGATGTGAAGTGTCAGTTATAATCTCCAGTGTGCTATGCTAATGTGATACTTATCTCCTCTCACTTGTCCCCACTTTAATAATGATACCAATTAAGGATTCAGATCAGGTAGGTGATTGAGCTGTTGTTATCTCCATTGAGTAAACAAGCTTTCTTTTCTTCTCATCCCCTGGCTTCATTAGCAAGCAGAACACATGGCTGCATCCTGACACCCACAAAGACATGAATCTATAGCTGCGAGTGGACTCGGGGATAAAACCATGCGGAAACAGAGACACAAACACAGACTTTTATTTGATGAAAGGCTTTAAAAGCAGCATCAGTCTCAGGGAGATGGTTGATTTCTACACGGACAGCAGAATGTTTACCTGCCTCTGTCTAGATGTATGTATCTCATCTTGCTCTAACAGAAAGGGATTGGGAGGATTTCTCCACTTCTGCTTGTAAGATTTTATAAAATGTTGTCAACTCTTTAGTTTGTTCATCTGCTGCATGGATGGAAATATCCATTTACATGTCAAACAACAAGTTTGTTCAATAGCTTTCTGAGAAGTGGACAGTAAAGTTGACATTTATATTTGATATATATAAATAAATCTGTTAAAGAGTGAATTCAGATGTGGAAAAATTGAACCCTTTGAAACTACGGGGTAAGGATGTTGTTGGAATAAGACACACAGAATTGCTTTTCGCACAGGGTTTAGATATTTGAATAAGCTATGTAGTGTTGTGCTTGTCAACAGGCATGACAGTTCAATTCAGTTTAACTCAAACTTTAATGAATAAAAGGTAAGACATGCAATAAAACATCAAAAGCACATTAAAAAGTCATACTTTGCATAAGCTATATATGAATATCATAAATACATAAGAAAAT